ATAATGAAAGAGTTTTTGTTTTTGATTTGTTTTATTTCGTTAAGTAGTAATTTAAAGCTTTCTATAGATATATTTATCATGTCTGTGAGGCATGTATTCGCTGAGTTTTGGTTCATTTTTGTGAAGCGCGCCTGTTCAATACGAGACGGCAGAAAGCGCATAGTGTTTGTTTTCTTTATTTTATAAAAGCACAACGTTTTGTTTGTATTGTGAGTGCACACAAATAAAAGTAAACCCTTTACAGTTACGAATGATGTATTACTCTTACCTTTATGAGCAAAAATGACGGCGTATTCACTGAAAAAAATGCAAGTGGTCGCGCTGGCGCCTCCATGTCCTGCAAAGCGCGCTTCATCTTCTACTCTCAGCACAAAATATTGGATATATATTATCTAGGTTTAACGTTTAAACATTGTTATATGTTTGAACTGTTTTATATCTATAGATTTTATTTAGGCAAGTCCTGATGATTTGAGAAGGCTAAATTGATCAAACATAGGCTCACTGTCTGCCTCTGGCCGCTTGGCCGTTACTTTAAAAAACAAAAACGTATATTTAACAAACAAAAAATGCTCCAAACGTTTTTCTAAATTAACTTAATAAAAAAACGAAACGAAATATAATCACTTTGCCATTACATACAAAGCTGAACTATTTTAATAGCTGGAACAGTAGTATAAGCTGTTTTGGGAGAAGGAGAAAAAAAAAGATGGGCTCGGGTCTGACTCGGGCCGGTAATTCTGTTAAGCTATCGGACACGGGCCGGGCTAGGGTCTGATCATATCGGGCCGGGCAAGGGCCTACATTTGAGGCCCGTGCAGGACTCTAATGCTCATCGCTGGTCTGGTTACTGGTATAGGGCTATAGCCAAGCCGTTAAAATTAGACCACAGATTGCCTCGATTTCGCCAGGTGGGCTAAAAGCAGACTACACGAAGCCCGTCCAATTTTGAGCTAAATCGTGGCTACATATAGACCATGTCATGAAATGACACTTATATCTTTGTAGATATTATTGACACTGCGAACATGATGGGATATCAACCATCTCATGCGCTGCCTGGCCAAAAACTACAGTGAATCAGGTTTGACTATAAGTGGGCTACAGATAGCCGCTCTGACTACGAGCTAAATCGTGGCTACGCACAGGCTACGTATTGAACATGTC